GCAGAGGGGACGCACCACCTGCCCCCCACCCCCCCGGGAGAGACAACGCCGCCGCCGTGCCCCCCCGTGGCAAGCCCTGCGTGGCCCCCGTGCCCACCCTGCGCCCACCGGGACCCTCCCTGCCACCCGGACCCCCCCCGGGGACCCCCCCGGCGGCCGGCAGACCGTGAGTGAAGCCTCAGTCACCCCCCTAGCCCCACATTTTGGGGTCCAAGCAGCGTTTGGGGGGGCGGGGGGGTCACATCTGGCCACCTCTGGCCCCATCTCTCCCCAGGGCAGCGGGGAGGAAGCCGGTGCCGAAGGGAATGGCGGTGGCTTTGGGGCTGAATTCGGTGAAAATCCACTGCCAGAACGAAGCTGTCTACCAGTACCACGTCACCTTCAGGTATTGGGGGGGGGGACGGGTGCCCCCCACCACCCTAGGAAGGGTGGGTGCCCCCCCAGGGCAAAGCTCTCTCCATCTCAGTAGCCACTAGATGGAGTGGCCGGCGCGGCTACCGTCCTGCGGGCAGGGCTGCTGTGGGGCAGCAAAGCACCAAGATCTGGCTTTTTCCCCTCATAAGGGTGGTTTTTTTTCTGGGGGGAGGGGGTGTCCTGAGGTGGGGGGGAGTTAAAGGAGCGAGGACTTGCCAGGGGTGGAAGGGGAATGGAGCGCTGTGTTCTGCTCTGGAGGACACGGAGCTGTTGGTGGGGCTGAAGGGGTCACGGAGATACTGGGAGGGCTGGAGCCCCTCTGCTGGGAGGGGGGGCTGAGAGAGTTGGGGGGGTTCAGCCTGGAGAAGAGAAGGCTCCGGGGAGACCTTGGAGCCCCTTCCAGTCCCTCAAGGGGCTCCAGGAGAGATGGGGAGGGACTCTTGATGAGGGAGGGGAGCCCCAGGAGGAGGGGGAAGGGTTTGACCCTGAAAGAGGGGAGATGGAGCTGAGATGTGGGGAAGAACTTGTTTGGTGGGAGGGTGGTGAGAGCCTGGCCCAGGTTGCCCCGAGAAGCTGTGGCTGCCCCATCCCTGGAGGGGTTCAAGGGCAGGTTGGAGGGGGCTTGGAGCAACCTGGGCTGGTGGGAGGTGTCCCTGCCCAGGGCAGGGGGTGAGAGGGTCTTAAAAGTCCCTTCCAACTCAAACCGTTCTGTGATTCTACGATTCAGGTTGTTCAGCCTGGAGAAGAGAACGCTCTGGGGAGACCTTATAGCATCCCACCAATATCTGAAGGATATTCAGCTACAGGAGAGCTGGGGAGGGACTCTTTGTCAGGGAGTGCAGTGACAGGACAAGGGGGAACGGTTTTAAATTAGGAGAGGAGAGATTCAGATTAGATATTAGGAAGAAATTCTTTACTGTGAGGGTGGTGAGAGCCTGGCCCAGGTTGCCCCGAGAAGCTGTGGCTGCCCCATCCCTGGAGGGGTTCAAGGGCAGGTTGGAGGGGGCTTGGAGCAACCTGGGCTGGTGAGAGGTGTCCTTTGAAGGTCTTGAAGGTCCCTTCCAACCCAAACCATTCCATAATTCCATGATCCCTGTCCCTGGCAGCCCCGAGGTGGAGTGCAGGAGCACCCGCTTCGCCATGCTGAAGCAGCACCGGGCGGTGACAGGGGACGTGACTGCTTTTGATGGCTCCATCCTCTACCTGCCCATCCTGCTCCCCCAGGTAAGGGGCTGGTGGGCTCTACCCCCAGGGTGAGGTGGTCGTAGCCAATTTTGGGGGGGCGTGGGGATGTCCAGCCCGTGTCTCTGGGGAGGGGCATCCATCCCTCTCGCCCCGCAGCCCGTCAGCGTGAAGGCTGAGAGGAAGAGCGACGGGGAGGAGATCACCATCACCATCCAGATCACCAAAGTCCTGGAGCCCAGCTCAGATCTCTGCATCCCCTTTTACAACGTGGTTTTCCGGAGGTGAGGGACCACTGAGACCCCTCCTGGAGTGGAGAAGAGACCTTCCTCTTCTTCTTCTTCCTCCTCCTCCTCCCTGTGAGCCTGAGCCCATCCTTGCTTTTATTTTCCCTTCTTTAGGGTGATGAGAATCTTAGATATGAACCTGGTGGGGAGAAATTTCTTTGAACCTGCCCAGGCCACCATCATCCAGCATTACAGGTGGGTGCTGGACGTGGTTATTTTTCTCCTGCTCCTCACGTGGCTTCCAGACAGGGACATTCCCGTTCCCCGGGTGACAGTGGAAAGCTGGAAATGGGGGAATTCTTTGCCAGGTCAGCTCTCTTGGCCAACTCGGCTCAGCCTGACCTCAGAGGGACTGTTGTTTTTTTCTTTTTCCTAGTGCAATTCAGAGTTTTTATTAACTGAAAGCTGGCAGCCAGCTGGGAAATAAATCCTCTGTGTTTTGAGGGCTCCTTGGCGAGTGGGATGGCTGCCCGGTTCCTCTGGCAGCGCCACGCGGGCGGCTCTGGTTTGAACCCCAGGGTGCTGTCGGGCATCTTTCCTCCTCCTTCTCCTCCTCCTCCTCTTCCTCACAGGCTGCAGATTTGGCCAGGATACTCGGTCAGCATCCGGAAAAAGGACGGTGGCCTCTTCCTCTTGGTGGACCCCATCCACAAAGTCATCCGCAGCGATTCCGTCCTGAATTTCATGTAAGAGAGGAGTGTGGGGTGGGGGAAAAAAATAGAGAAGCCTCACGGATTTTTGGAGTTTGGGGTGGTTTTCCAACAGCCATGTGTCCAGGGCTGCCTCTGGGTAAGGGAAATGTGGGTTACCATCACCGGGCTTGTAGCTACTAGTGGTGTTTGGCAAAAGGCATTTAATTTTGGGGGTAGGGTGGGCGAGAAGCATCACCCTGAGCTTCTCCTCCTGCTTCTCTCCCCCACTGCAGGCACAGCATCTACAAGCAAAGCCTTGGCAGCTTCCAGGACGAGTGCACCAAGCAGCTGGTGGGCAACGTGGTCATCACCCGCTACAACAACCGCACCTACCGCATCGACGACATCGACTGGAACAAGACCCCCAGGGACAGCTTCACCCTGGCCAGCGGCCAGGAGATCACCTTCGTGGACTACTACAGGTAGGGAGTTCCTGCTGGAGCATCTTCAGCAAGTTTGCTGATGATACCAACCAAACTGGGAGGGGTGGCTGACACCCCCGAGGGCTGTGCTGCCATCCAGTGAGACTTGGACAGGCTGGAGGGCTGGGCAGGGAAGAACCTCATGAGGTTCAACAGGGAAATGTGTAGGGTCCTGCACCTGGGGAAGAAAAATGTCAGGTACCAGTACAGGTTAGGGGTGGACCTGCTAGAGGCAACTACTGAAGAGAAAGATCTAGGGGTCCTGGTGGACAGTAAAATGACAATGAGTAAACAGTGTGCTCTTGTGGCCAGGAAGGCCAAT